TGTGCTTTATTATTGTTTCTGTGTTCTCTTAATCTTAACTTCAGAAACATTTCTACATGCTGAGTGTTAATAACGTCAGAGAGGAAAGAAAAACATTCAGAGGGAAAAATGAGTTTGATTTTGCAATTATCATGAATGTTCTTATAGCACTGGGAGCCAGTGAAGCTAATATCAGAGCTACATGATGTGTCATCCACATCTTATATGACACAAGGGTTTGATCATATATTCATAAAGGACTTTGTTCCACATTTCAAACATGAACTATACATTAATTAGTTCATTGACTGAGTTGTGTAACTGCTGTTGTAAGAATCCATGTGCAGCTGATTACAAAGAATCTAATCCTTATGACAACTCAAAGAAATTCGTTTTTTCATATAGTTTGAAGAAAAGTCTATATCACTGCTTCCTGTATCTCAAGTTTCTGTGTTGTATGTTTCTCTAATGGTAAATGGTTTGTGTTCATTTAGTTCTGCTTTAGCCTTGTGGAGAACTCAAAGCTCTTTACGGTGGATCGACAGCACTTTCTCTACCACACATACAATCATACACTGACGGCACAGGAGCAATTTGGGTTCAGTATCTTGATATCGATATCAGTTTTCTAATCTTCACAACAGAATGGAGGTTTCATTGACTTTTCAGTGATAAGGTTTTCATGCTTTTGTCCCTCACCAAACCCCACCGAGATCAAGTTTTGGAATTATGTTGCTTCTTTCATGATCATACAGGAACACAGGACTAATCCTGAAAACTATTTTCTTCAGTCAAGCATAAGACTTGTTGGGTGTATATGAATATTGATTGTAAATGTAAAAACCAGAGCAATCAAAGACAGTGAGGCTCTGAGCCCTGCGCATCATTTATAAGTTATTCAAACTCATCAAACTGTTTAATTCAGAACTTAAATTGTAACAGTGTCATTATTCTTGAACACAGTGATCCCCAAAAGCAAAATTGGTCTGAGCGGTGAGTCATGTATAGTGTGGTCTCTGTACAGAAAGACTGACTAT